CAGAGGTAGGTATTCTGATTTTAAACCCCTGATGGACAAAACAGAATCGAGTGTTTTGCAAATTCGTTGTAGAATTGTACTTACTATACCACGTGACTGGCATACATTTCATGCAGAGTGATAATATTGTATGATAGATCTTCCATTTCATGCACTTCGTGATCTTCTATACTGTGAAACAAGCAACTGCCAACGGAGTTTCATATTTAAAGCGCCATGTAACTAGAAACATAACATTTAACGCCAAGAATAACGCTCACGTAGTTTCAATTTGTCAACAGGTTTTAATAAATCAGCCAAATGTGTTTGACACATGTCCCTAGAGTACTTTCATAAGGTACAGCCAAACACCGTTGTGTCAAACCTCGGATAACTCGAAGTATTTATGTTGGTCCCTTCAACTTCGACACAACGGTGTTTCGCTGTAAAACGAATAGCAATAGCGAATAGCGATCAAATGCTATGATACAAACGAGGTTGATACTCCTAAATATCGGCGACTGCCATCTTGACTAACAGCTGTTCATTCTGTTAACAAGTGGGGTTACTTTTGATTGTTGAGGTTACGATAGACTAACATTTAGTCTCTGAAATCCTAGTATGTTACACAATATCCTTCTTGACTCTAAAAATAAAAATAAAATTCCTAATGCTGATTGTGGAATAGAGCTAGCTTGAGCTGGCTAGACTTGCTTTTGTATGCATTTCTAGATTATGTTTTTTTCATAAAAAAAATATATTCCACGGTCATGGTGCAGGACTAAGGTTACGAGTGTACATCGACTTTACACAAAGACATGTTGGTACGTTGTGCCAGTTTCCTTAAATAACCGTAATGGTAGCTCTGTGGTCAGTGCGGAAGCTAGTCAAGCTGGTGGTTCAGGTTCGATTCTCAATGTGAACAGGGGGCACGGGTGGTCCAGTCGTCTAAGGCGCCGCGATTCGCTGTGCAGTGTTGCGTCCCTTGGGCACGCCAGAAACCTATGATTGTGGGTTCAAATTCCGGTTCGCCCCAATTATGTTTCTAGGTTTGTCAGCACCATACTCGTGCTCGTGGGTTTCACCGAAGTGGTAAACGTCTTAGACCTGCATCACTTCGGGCTTTCCTCTCACATTAAGCTGACACGCCGTGATATAACTGGAATAATGTTAAAAGCGGTGTTAAACCAAACTCACTCACTCACTCAATCAGTGTGAACATTCCTAAAATCATTTACTATGAGAAGTTTTGATCAAACAAGATTTCATAATTGGGAAGAGAACACGTATATTGATAAATAAATGTAAAGATGTGTATATATGAGATATAGTTGCTGAAGATAGACACGAACACATACAAACACGTACGCGCGCGCACGCACACACACACACACACACACACACACACACACACACACACACACACACACACACATACACACACACTCATACATGTAGATTTTTCATAACATTAATCGTTTGAAAACTAAAGTTTTAACTGTATAAATAATACTTCACGTGGGGAGAATGTGTTTTCGAAATGTAAACTAACATAATCCTCTGCATATGTTACTTATCATACATTGAATAATATGTAATAATATGATATTAGACATATTTTCCTATTCCGACGTCGCCTTGTTTAAAATCTCGCATGACGGTCATACATAAGTTTCAACCATCCCTCATCAATGTGTATGTACTGCAGTGAAGTATTTTCCAGTGTATGGTACTGACAAACCTACAGACAAAGTCGGGGCGAACTGGGATTTGAACCCACGATCATGGGTTTCTGGCCCAAAGGGACGCAACTCTTCAAAGCGAATTCCGGCGTCTTAGACAACCTGACCACACGTACCTCCTGTAGATGGTCACACATCAATCAGTGGGGATTCCGGGTAAGAATATATGTTCTACTTATGCTTGTCGTAAGAGTCGACCAAATGGATCTGGAGTTTGGGTGACTTGGTTGATGCATGTCATCCCAATTGCGTGGCTCGATGTTCATGATTTCCATCACTGGATTGTCTGGCCCTTACACTCGATATTTTACAGACCGTATTCATATAGCTCGAATAAAGTTGAATGCTGAATTAAAGCGCAAACAAAAATTTAGTCGTAAAGTACCACCGTGCCCTAGTTATGGTTTGTGCTAGTATTACCCAGAACATGAGGAGCTGTGTATTCATAACAATGAAATTAGATACATTGTACTCATCCTATTTTCCTTCTTTTAATGGACCGCCTCTGTGGTCCAGTGAATAGAGTGTCTCCATGGAGAGCGGAATGTCACTGTTTCCATCCCCGACCGCGTCAAACCAAAAGATGTTACCTATTTGGTCCATGCCTGGTGCTAGGCATTTAGCGGATAAAACAAGGACTGGTCGGCTAGGAGTCAGTATATTGTGCATAAGTGGGGTGTCCATGTTAAACTGCGGCATGCTATCTCTTTGTGGGCTAGAGTAGACTAACATATAGTCTCTGAAATGAACATATCGTACAGAAAAAAAACAGTTGTTCAGTTATCTTAATAAAAATCTAATAAAAAGGGAGCCCAGTGATTCTCTTCCTGATACTGCAGTAATCTAGACTTGCCAAACATTATAGACTTGCATGGGTTGTAGTTGATATAAATGTATCAGGGTCTGAGGGCTAGAGCTATAAAACTGCAATTGGTCCAGAGAGTCTCTCTCCCCCCCCCCCCCCCCCCCCCCCCCCCCACACACACACACACTCTATCTCTCTCTCTCTCTCACACTCACACACACACACACACACACACACACACACACACACACACACACACACCAACCCCCTACCCACACACACACATATGCGCCAACGCGACGTAAAAACCTCATTTCTCCTCGACAACATATGGCCCTGTTCCCCTACGGTCAAGCTCCAACACCACATTATCTGTCTTGGATCTACAATTAAATCTTGGGGTCTGTAGCACCATGATATGAAATAACTGCAATATCCAGCTGCCAGTTTAGTCACAAATTATATTCAATCACTTTTCAAAATGATGCCAAGAATTTGAACCCTTCAGCCAGCATTCAAAATATTCCGTGCTGTAAACATACTCCTGACGGTAAACTTACTATTGAGGATTTCTTTAAGTGAAGATAATGAGAAATCAGAAGATTTAATGCTCCCTAGATCAAACCGTTGCGATATTGGCCAGATAAAAACTGTACCCAGCACAACAGTAATCCCGACTGACCATGTAAACACGTGCGAACACCCTATAAAGTATAACACAAGAGCAGAATGAGGCCAGACAGTCTGGATGATAAAACGCCATGGGTCGCACCCTCTTCTTAATGTGCTTGGTGTGTCTTACTCAGGTGAGTTTCCTTTTCCTTTTTCCCATGTAATGAAACAAATGAAACAAATGACGGATATGAAATAAAAAACATTATGATAGCAATGCGGCTTTGCAATTTCAATTAAAATTTATTTGGGTGTTTGAATATATTTTTTTCTGAATATATGTTCGCGCCCTAACATTGTTGTTTCTGAGTGTTTCGGTTACCTGCCTTCGACAGGAATAAAATCATTAATGACTATTTTTGGTTACATACTTACAATAACTAATACAATAAGGTATATAAATAAATTTTTGCAAGCATGATTTTTAAAAACTGTTCTGCGGTAATATTGTTTTCGACTTTAGACAGACAATGGCAGTTATGAGATCTGAAAAAAAACAAGCCGGTTTGAACAGTATAACGGTTACATTATAACCTGGCAGCTTAACGTGGGAGGAAAGTAATGCAGATATTTACATCTATGGTGAAACCCACGAGAACGGATGCAGACCAAGGCTTATATTCAGACGGATCTTCATTCTTAGAGCAAGAACTTAATGTACTTCACATAAGAGCCAGCTATTTTCCTGTCGTCGGGCAATTCTTATTTTCGTGTTTCGCATCTCCGCCACCTGGGATAGCGATATTATGAGGCGCAAATGAGCATTTCTAGCTCCACTATTACCGCCGGGAAAAAAACTCAATGCCAAGTTTCTATAAAAGGCAAATATTAATACAACTGTAACACCAACCAGGTGAAAGGAGAACTGGTAATCTATGTTATAAGAATTTATCAATTAATGATTGCTTCTCGTGTTTGACAAAAATGGTGTGGTGTAAGAAAACTTCGTCTTTTCTGACAAATCTTTCAACAAAAAATTAATACAAAATATTCAGCTTGTTAGCAAGAACATGTTGTAGTAAAGATAACAGAAGTTTTACGTTTACTCCATATTTGCTATCAAACAATAGCGAAATATATGTGAGCTGTGAGTTTTGTTTTTAAAAGCAAAGACTGACATGCCAATATTGAGCCAATATTGACTGTCAAAATGTCCGCCAAATTAAATCAAAGATGGATGATGATCAAATGGTGATGTTAATGAATTGCCAATTACACATGAGATCTATGAGTTAACAACAAATCTACATGTACAAGTCTGTTGGAAAATCAGTTCGTCAAATCATACTGCAAGTTTCCGATGGAAGAACTTCAAGTCCCTCATAAGCTTTTGGGTGTGTACTCACGACATACTCAGAGAATAGCCTACGAGATACGAGGAATGACGTCGCTTTCCAGAGTGATTTAGTGTTGCAATTTCCCAGCCACGGCAAGGGGTTTATAATAAGCGGTCTTGTATATAAAGGTTACTGTATACACACCTTATACATACATGTGCACACCCATTGTTTTATTTTCTAAGAAATGTAAAACTGTGGGGTTCCCGACAACAAGTGGAGAAATCAGCTGTGTCAGTATATTGCGAGAGCGACGTCGCATAATAGACGATGAATGATAAAATCTTCAATAATTTGCGACACAGTTTTGACATGACTTCACGCTGCTGTGGACCGCTTGGTAAACATTCACAATTATGAAACAATTAGGCGAACTAGCCAATCAGCAAGAAGCAAACTGGAAATAAATCACTGAGTGATATTGTTTGAATTGTTTGATAGGCATTACTTAGAAGCTGACGGATGACAAAGACGACACAATTTATGGATAACAACTTCTTCAATTAAAGGCGACGTTTTGGTATTGATCCTAATACCGTTGTCAAGAAAGGTTGTGCAGTTTGTTGTTGGCCTGGGTCTGGGCAGTGCGGAGTGAGGAGAAGGTGTCAGGTTGGAGCGTAGTTTTGATCTGGTTGATCTGGTCAGAGATGTCTTTGAGGGAGATAGCGGTGATGACGGAGTCCTTCCGTGACAAGGCGTTGAGAGGCGGTGTGCAGGATGGCTCTGGCAGCAGGGGACTAGTACAAGCAGCCCCACACAAGGACTTCGCTATGTAAGTGAAATAATTTTGAACGCGACGTTAAACCCCATTTTATGTTACCATCATGCATCTTGCCATATTTTCAGGTGACGTCAGGAAAGGGTCGGGCTACCGTCCATTTCATCAAGTATTCTAACCCCAGCGGCAAGGATGCGGGAGGAGAGTGTTGCGAGGGGGTCTTCAACTGCAAGGACCTCTGTGATCCTCTGTTCAGGGTCTGCTACAAGGAGCTGCCCAGTTCAACAGAGTAATAGTACATACATGTATTTCATGCTAGGATCAGTACCGTGGAAACTGTCTGAACCGGACACTGGATAATCCGGATCTCTGTCAATAACGGACCAAATTTACGGTCCCGAATTGACTCATACAATAATAGTATATACATGTATGTCAAGCTATTATTCAGTGCCCTAGAATCTGTCTAAACCGAAGTCTGACTAATCCAGCCCTCAGTTGATAAGTGATAACAACTTTACGATCTCGAATTTACTAATAAAGTAATGGAACATGCAAGTTGTCATGCTATAATTCAGTGCACCGGAATCTGACTAATCCGGATCTCTGTCGATAACAGATCAACTTTACGGTCCTGAATTTACAATGGATTGCTATACTTTATAATTGTGAGCATGAGATAGAATGCAGTGGAACCTCATTGGTCCGAACTTCGGTAATCCGGAAGTCAGCTAATGTTTCAGTATTCTTAAACATGTTTGTTTGTTTGATTGATGTTTAACGCCGCACTCAGCAATATTCAAGCTATACGACGGCGGTCTGTAAATAATCGAGTCTGGACCAGATTAGACAATCCAGTGATTGACATCACGAGCATCGATCCGGGTCTTCAGCAACCCATGCTTGCCGTGAGAGGCGACTATGCGTGTCGTAAGAGGCGACTAAAGGGATCGGGAGGTCAGGCTCCCTGACGTAACTGGTGCTTGTCATCGTATTCCAATTGCTCGGATCGATGCTCTTGACATCAATCACTGGTGTGTCTGGTCCAGACTCGATTACTTACAGACCGCCGTCATATAGCTAAAGCATTGCTAAGTGCGTTAAACCGCAAACAAACAAATCAATAATTTCCACTGATTCATCAATGATGCAACTTTTGCGTCCCTCAGTCGTGTCCGGATCCGCTGGTAGTTGGTTCGGATCCCAGGTGTAACACGATGATGATCTTTGGTTTGTTAGCGCCATACCCATCCGCGTAGGTTTCATAAAAGTGGTAAAGGTCAATAACCTGGATTTTCCACCAACATTAAACAGACACACTTTGATGCAGCTGAAATATCGTTCAAAGACGGGATAAACCCATCCAATCTCTCTGTTTCAGAAAATGTCCTATAGAGACTGGAAGCTACGAGAACACGAACCAGATCCATTTTGGCAAGAGCATTGGAGGAAACACAAACAATCCTGTTTCCTTTGACTTCGATCACTTTGACGTACGTTATTTAATAAAAACAATCGTCACGATTTGGCTGAAATATTGCCGTTGTGGCGTTAAACTTTAAGGGCACACACATCTAAAATCGCTCAAGATCAATGAAACCTCACATTGATAGCATGTATGAATATCCCCTGCTTCAAGACACGCAAAAACTCCCCGGCGCACAGAAATGTCAGTCGTCTGATGACGTCACGTGGGACACCATTCTTCTTCGCCATTCTTCTTGGAGGGCCTGGATCAGTTCTTGTAGGTTGGCTGGAAGACTTGGTCGCTATCGAACGCGACGATCCATGACATCTCAGGGATGTTCTGTGGGGGACATGCCTGGGGATCGTGCAGGCCACGGCAACACGTTGGCGTTGATGGCTGCTAGGAAGTTCTGTACGATTCGGGCGTTGTCATGCCAATACACGGCATCACGTGGTTTTAGAAATGGTCAGATAATCGGACGAAGAATGTCATCCATGTAACGCTGAGCTGACAAATATTTCCGATGACCAGTGTTGGTCTCTCCTGCCCACAAATCCCCACCCACACTGAATCCAACATGTTGCCTTTCGTTGCCCCCTTCGGCGGTAAACAGGCTGTCTTCCATCAACTCTGAACTGTTAGAACAGGTTTTTGTCAATGTAGAAGACCCTCTGCCAGTCATGTCGCTGCCAACGACGTACAGTCCGGGCCCATCTCGATCTCTGACAACGATGTTTATAAATAAATGTCCTCTATAAGGTCTGTAAGGTCTTAAATCCTTGAGCTCTGAGTCGCCTGGCCACTGTCTGTCGACTAACCATATGCCCTAAGGCATTCGTCGCTGATGACGTCACTGTCAGGAATCGATTTCGGAGATGCAAAGTACGCAAATACCGGTCTTCATTGGGCGTAGTTACCCTGGGTCTGCCTGTTCTTGGCCTGTCTAATGTCTACCCGTTCTGTTCGTAACGTTGTATCAGGTTAATGTCAGCAACAGGGGTGCTACCAAAGGGTCTAGCAATGTAGGCATGGGTGTATCATACTCAGGGCACGCTCGCGTTGCTCTAGTGTCAGTCGTGGCATTTCTGTGTTGTTGTTTTTTTTTATCGATGTGAGTGTCTGACATGCTGTCCGTTTCATTTATATACTTTGAAGTCTCGGCTGCCCAAGCGGCATGAGTTTTTCACTTTTTAGCATTTTCTTAAAAAAAAAGACTTGGACAGACCGGTCTCAGTTATTGACGAAGTTTCCTGTTGTGAACGTGTGCATGTATACAAAGTGACATTACTCACAAATAATTATTCGTTCTACAAGAAAGGACGAGATATGATAAAGGCCCTATATTAGCCCACACGATCTGTATAACTACGTAATTAGCAACACTTTAAGAATGGTAATGGAAGTTATCAGATTCATATGAATGAGAACTAATCTTGTTCATTTCAACACATACATATGTCGGACTTATAACAATACTCAATGTATGTTTTAAGCTCAAGTGTGTCGAAAAGAGTTATTTTAGAGGGAGCAACTTTGAGCATGAGCACGAGTCTTTGACACAAGCTGATTTTCTTAGGATATGTAGGTGAAGAAAGTAGAAAAATATGGTAATGAATTCAACTTAGGTCATTGACTTGCTCATAGTTAGATATCTCGTGTAATTGAAAAAATCGCATTTTCAGCCGTTCTTGTGTACTTGAAGATGCCAGAAACCAAAAAACTTGCAAATGTAAGAAAGAAATGTCAGCCATTTGAATTAACTTTCATGCCATTATTACAACGTTTCCCGTAACTTTAAAAGTTTCTTATGGGCAAAGGACTCATTTGCTAACTCATCCTATATTAAGTTGAACAATGTATATTTAGTTTCGTTAGAATAAATGGAACAGTTAAGTTTTGACATAAGTGCTCATACAGTTACCGATATAACATTTGTGATTTGAAACTGACGCAAGTTTTCATTTTATAATAAGCCAGGACCAGACAATTGTTTAGCACCTTTGATTATCGTACAAATTATCCGCTGGATTGATATTTATAAGACGAAAGTCATGTTCCATATTGTTGTTTTATATTTCAGACCAGTTTAAGGATAGAGGTAAATGCACAGGATCACGACACAGGCTTTCTGTTCGGCTCCAATGACAACATTGAGACCGTTCACTACGACGTCGCAGCGGCCTTGACCTTCAACAGCACGTTGCCTGGAACGTCAATTACCATGAAGGGGAATGTAATAACGTAAGTCATGATGACTGCATACCAGTATTATTTTTTGGGTTAACGCCGCACTCAGCAATATTCCATTTGTATGACAGCGGTCTGTAAAAGCTTGAGTCTGTACCAGACAGCCCAGTGATGGATATTGTGAGCGACGTCCTACCAGGTCGGTATTCATTTGGCTAATCAATCGTTATTCCATCAACCAAGTCACCGAGCCTGACTGACTTATTCCATTTAGTTGCCTCCTATGGCAAGTATGACTGTCCTAACCCGGAATACAAACAGGGGCTAAATGTAGTTCACAATATCGGTTATTCATTCATATAAGTAACATTAACAGTTGATCTAATTCCAATTTCATCAAGTTGGAAACGAAACCAGATATACTATTTTACAGACAAACTAGCAATTCAATTCAAACACTATAAACAATCAACACTTGAATAGTTCACTGAATTTAAGGGACTTCAAGATGCTTTCTTTTAACTGTTTGTAGATTTGAAGCGACTGTGCAAGTGAAGTGTTATGATCATTACTATGGTAACGGGTGTGGCACCTACTGCAGGGCGGAGGACGACCCCGGTCACTATATCTGTGACCCAGCGGGCAAGAGGGTGTGTCTCGACAGTGAGTGGCATATATGTATGATACAAAAAAATAAATAAAACTATTACAGCAACATAAATAAATGTAGACTGCAGTAGTCTATTTGTTGTTTGGTGTATGTGTAAAGTCGTGATTCGGAAGAAAATGCAATGCAATAACGAATATTTTACGAATGCTTCCATATATTTCTTTCATTTATTATCATTATTTTCATTGTGTTGGCTGTCACAGAGTGGATTGGAGCAAAATGTGACCAATGGGATTACTGTTTCAACAGCACGTGTCAAAACAGCGCCACCTGTCGGAACAACCCTCGTGACTATTCTTGCCTGTGCAAAAGTCGCTATACTGGTACGGCTGAAATATCAGATAGATACATACACGTAAATAGAACATAGAGCATAAAGGAAGGGTGACCCAGTGAATGTGTTGTGTGATCTGAATGAAACATGAGGCAACTTTGTCCGAATGCAGTGTGCTTGTGATGGAACATCATCTGTTTTTTGTCTATTTTGACTGTGTTTTTTACACTTCCTATTTTGTCTGTTAAAACTCGTTGCGGTCCTCATGAATCAGCGTTAGAAAAACATTGTCACAGGTATGAGAGCCCACTTGTACGAAACGATTATAGCGTTAAAGCGGTTGTAAAATAGATGCAGTAGAGGAACGAGAGTTTGCCTTTACTTAAGTTGGTTTAGTGCATGTGGTCCCTGGAACTGTATTTGTTCATATTTATATTTACTGACAGGTGCTTTCTGTGAGGCCCTGATTCCGACCACGACAATGACGACACCATCAAAAACATCCCCTACAACGACAACCGCTACAACATCGACGATATCGACAACTGTGTCTCCGACTACAACTGCTGCGACTACTACTACACAGCAGACAGAACCAACAAGCGCTAGACTGAATCGAGTACACCTTTCCCATGTACATAACAGCTTTTTGTTAGTTTCAGCTGCATTGTTTATCTCAGTTTCCTGAAACATAATAATCATAAAAATAGTTACTATAACATCGGGAGTGGACTATAGTTTTGATAAATACAAACATGTGCTTTATCATTATTCATTATTATTAATAGTATTACTATTGTTGTTGTTGTTGATGTTGTGTTGTTGTTGTTGTTGTTGTTATGTAAAAGATTTACCTGATGTTATGTATTCTGTATTGCAAGGTGCCCGTCAAACAGGGAGATAATGCGTTACCCATCGTTCTGACTCTGTGTGGGGTTCTGTCCATCGTGCCGCTTACAGGCCTCGCTGTTTTATTCAGAAGGTACCGTGCTGCCGAGACTTCAGCTTCTATTACAATCACATGAAACTATGTTTTACTTTTTATTATCCTTGCAGTATTTGAAATATGTCCTTGCAGAGAAGGATGTCACTGTTTGTGTATCATTATGCAGAGAATGGTGTTTGGCAGAAAAACAGACAAACAATTTCATTGTAACAAATCTAACTGACTTTGTGTGCTGGCGATTAGGTGCCTCACTCTGGCAGTGTGGGTTCGAATCCCGGATGGGGCCACTTCCTGAATGGCATTGTTTGTTCTTTCAGGTTGGCGTGCTTTATCTTGTAATACTGTTACAAAACTTCGTAAAATCTCATTCAGTAAGTTAAAGAAATTGGAGAAAATTACATATTACAATTTATACTAGTTATTTATTCATAGTCACAGTTCCCGGTCCTTGGTTTCAGGAAGTGTAGCAGCCGAGTGAAGCCTGTCCCTCAGGACAGAAAACTCCGGACCAAGGCCCAGTACAACACAAGGCCACCTTTACACTGGGTCAGATAGAGTGCTTCCTGCAACATGACAGGCTCTGGGGAGTGGACAGGTCCGAGCAACGAAATATTCAGGTTATAGATCGTGTATCAAAATAAAATATTGAAACTGGGAAATTGTCAATTGTCAATTTCGTTCGATGTAATTACAAACGTACGATGGGTTTAGGTGCCAGTTATGGTTACAGATAACGGTATATTATCTTGACATAACTCCACTAAGTAAGTGTATAAAATCAATTTCGTCTTGGTATCGAGAATTAAGAGATAACATACTCTCCTTTCAATGTAGAGCTGGGTTACCTGTAATTTAACCGTGATAAAATGAATTTGGAACAAAACGCGCAAGCTCTCTGTTGTCCCAAATACCTAAATTACATTCTCTGTGTAGATTTCTATCGTGTTTTCTGTATTGACACACATCCTCTAAATATTGTCGTAACCGGAACTTTGCATTTTGTAACCTATAATTGTAGGTGTAATTATTTAAATATGCCTACCGACAATGACTGAAAAAAAACTATTCTGTGTATATTAGCTCCCGCGGTGATGCGGCCACTTTTCCCTTTCTCACCCCTATCACATTCACTTCTCTTCCCCTTCAGCATCCCATTCTCACCCCTTCATCCCCATCCATCATCTTTGAGAGATTCTTGTGTGTATCTACGTGATGAAACCTTAACATTGTTTCGGTGTTAATATGTTAGTCAACCGTTCTAACATAGCCATTATTAGTATTTTATGCGAGTGACTTCTAAGTTTTCCCTTTTCACGATCGGCCGCTCCATCCACCATTAAACTGAAATACGTGAGTGAGTTGGGTTTAACGCCGCTTTTAACAGCATTCCAGTTATATCGCGGCGTGTCAGCTTAATGTGGGAGGAAAGCCCGAAGTGATGCAGGTCTCAGACGTTTACCCACGAGCACTGGTATGGTGCTGACAAACCTGGAAACGTAATCGGGGCGAACCGGGATTCGAACCAACAATCATAGGTTATTAACGTGCCCAAGGGACGCAAACTCTGCACAGCGAATTGCGGCGCCTAATACGACTAAATGAAATAAGACTGAATCTGTCGTACTGGACATACATACATTTACAACATTATGTCCTAATTAACTCTTTGACCTCAATCCCCTTTCTCACGGAGTGAAATACACGTCGTATCACGGAATCACGGCCAAGGTTACAACTGAAAACGATACTTTTCTTTGTCAACGTTTGCATGCTCGAGGAGATTCAGTTAACTTCTATTGTTATTAAAATTTGTTTTACATTATCATTGATGTACAGATATATACTGTAGCCATGAACGTGCAACACTGGATTGTTTCAGACCACGTACAGTGTTTAGAGCATGTATATTGGGGTTAGGTGGCTTACTTCATTCTAAGCACCGCTGTGTGCCAGGACAGGTATAACTATGGAATATATTATCGTGTTCAGGCTCGTTTCTGTATTAATAGTACCGTTCGAGGTGAGTGATAATTTCAAAATGTAAATTCTTTACAGTGAAACCTTGTTAAGTTGGACGGTACTGTTCCCGTCAGGGTACGTGAATTTCCAGTTTACTGTCAAAGTCAACGCCAGAGAATAACCAATCTCGACCGTCCGCCGAAACATTGAGCGTAAGGCAAAATAGCGGTGAAATTATATGAATGGATTAAAGATTTGGACTACTGATAATCAGTGATGACGCCAGGTGATCGCGCAACGAGGAACCATGTCCTGCTTAAACAAGTGTTGTTTAACGCCGCACTCGGCAATATTCCAGCTATATGACGGTGGTCTGTAAATAATCGAGTCTGGACCACAGAAATCCAGTGATTGACATCATGAGCATCGATCCACGCAATTGGGATACGATGACATGGATCAACCAAGTCCTGACCACCCGATCCCATGAGTAGCCTCTTACGACAAGCATAGTCGCCTTTTACGGCAAGCATGGGTTGCTGTATACTCCGGAATTTCACGGTTCAAGTCAGCAGTGGTGTCCATTTAACTACATACGGCCGTCGTGTCCTTTTAACTACATATAGGCGTCCAGAAGAGTAAGCGTGCGGAAGACAAGGTTTCCAGATAGATTGGTCCAGTCAGACGAGGTTTTACTGTGTGTTCGTTCAGACTGAAGGCTGTAATTACTCCTTCGACAAGTACACCCATATATAACGTTATTAGTGAGTGAGTTGGGTTTAACATCGCTTCGGACGTCAGCTAAGTGTTACAATAGCTGGGAATCAGGTCGACGCAGCTGAAGTTGCTGAAGTCCTATTGTAACCGGGATCATCACGGGTCGTTTAGTGCATTCAACCCATATACCTACTGAGTAGAGGACCGCCTCCGCAGTCTAGTGGTAGAGTATCCGCCCGGAGAGCGGAAGGTCCGGGGTTCGATCCCCGGCCGCGTCATACCAAAAGACGTTAAAAGATGGTACTTGTTGTGCTCGGCATTTTAGGGCTAAAACAACGACTGGTCGGCTCGGAGTCAGTATACTGTGTCTGAGTGGGGAATTCATGTTAAGCTGCGGCATAATATCAAAGCAGCCACACAAACACACGTCGCTATATAAGTGCAATAGTTTGGACGCGACGTTAAACCCCATTTCATCTCACCTCACCTACTGAGTAGTATCATAGTCAGATCCTAATACTCTTAGCAATAATATCACTTGTTAAATGCGACCTTATAGGTACTAGGATACAATTGTGCTTTGACGTCATAACGAAAGACGTTTGACGTCAATATACTTCCGTATAAATCGCCACTTGTGCGGACTACAAAACTATCTTGTTTCTCATTCGTCATGTAATAAAAACATTATTTCAAATCATTTCAGCATATATGTCTTCTTTCAATTAATCAGACGTTATATCTAAAACTGCAATCACTATATAAACAGTTTTAACTCTAAAAATGGGTCCGAATGTTTGATGCTATGTATCTCTGTAATAATTAATTGAAGGTTGTGAATTGTATTTTTGTGGTCCTAGGGTACAGTAGTTTTAAAATAAACTAAGAAGTCAAAATGTGATTTTTCATCCATAAGGCCCTCATCTCTTGGTTGGTCTCAAATACTGTTGAAATGAAAGCGGCGTTAAAGGGGAAGTGTACACGCAAAAATCACTTTCTTTCTTTTTCTTAACAAAACGCAATTTTAGAATTAATTAGTATCTGTGTTTGAAAATATACACTCATTTTTTTCACAGTGAAAGTAGGAAGCTCACAATAGTGTGAAAATGATATGCCGTTATGAGGCCTTCGTTTTTCGAGCTAAACAGGCCTGAGTTATCCCCCTTAGATTATGACGTAATTGGTGCCAATTCAACTGGGTCCCTGTCTATTCTCAACGCAAAAGATATCAAGTACCAGTTTGCGGTAAAACAACATGGTCTACGACACACTCCGACGCAGTGGTGACTCAGCATAACACTATGCTGGCTGGCATCTGAGACGCTAGAATCACACATCTAGACCTACACCACGTGAAGCGGCTCTAACAAAGCATGATGACGTCATAATGTTTATCAATTGGCACCAATGACGTCATATTGCAAGGGGCATAAGCCATTGTGTTTTTGTTGTGGAAATAGAACACTTGGTAAATGTGAAAAATATAAATCGTTTTAATGCGAAAAATATGTTAATTAATTGTGATATTTTTATATTTTTGTCTATGACACTTCTAGGTTAACACTTTTAATGTGGAAAAAGTACAAGAAAAATAGGTTAATTTCCGTGTGAACTTGCCCTTTAAGCAGTACACAAAGCTGAATTAAAGTAGTGAGGAATAACAGCTTCATAATAGCTGCTCAGGCTGAATCGACAGTTCGAACCAGTTAACTTTATGTTAGTCATCCAGGCCCGAACACCTAACTAATTATACGTGGCCTAAATACATCACAATGGAATCAGCATTGAATTGTCTGTTTGTCAATACAGTTTAGTAAATAAAAGAATTTTAAAATTACTTTTGCCAGATATGGCCTTCATGCGGATATATCAATAAAAAGTTCATCCCCCATAATATTTAAATCACAAATCTGCAATGTTTCTTTTCATTTAGCATTGCAACTGTAGCGACGGGATCCAGTGCAGAAAGTGGGCAAGGGTCTAATTTGCTGTACAGAGTTACGTCCATTAGACGTGCCAGAATCTTTAGACCGTGTGATCACACCCCGGTTCGCCCTTTGTAGATTTGTTAACACCATTCAAATGGTAGACTTCAAATATCACATCGGACTCTGCTCCTACACCAAACTAACACGCCGTGATAAACATTTTGTAACTGAAATGCCGTTCTCATAATATGTTTGTTTTGAACATTCACTTTTTTATTTGACGTTAACTACCGGGCTAGAATGTATACACCCATGTTTGATGGTGGCTAGAAATGAAACAAACTAAAAATTGCTGTATGGTGATATATTTGATGCGGGTAGCATGATTGTGTTTTGGACCTTAAGTTGGCAGTGATTATGTGACTGTTTTCCTCCTATTAACACTTTAATACGTTTGTAATTGTTTGGTCAAATCCAATTTTCAAGTGTAAAATTAATTTGCTTTCAGTTTAGTTCTGTCACTACCTTCACTTTTACAGGCAGTTAAAGGCAGTGGGACCATCACGGTGAAGTTGGATCGTTACACGAATCCTGACAGCATAGTGGCTGACGGCAAGGGGACGTGCTGTGACGGCCTTGTTTTCTGTTCATCATCTCCCTGCGACCCATTCTTCCGTTTGTGCTACACCCACATAGGAGCAAAGAGGTTTGAAGAACATTTACACCTAAAACAATAAAGCACAATAATAGTTTGTCGATATCAGCCAAAGTTAAGCAACGTTGTTCACGGTGAGTACTTGGAAGGGCGACTGTGTTCGACAGCTTGACTCCTGAGAGTTTCTTGGGTTACGGTCCTGAAGCACATGTGGTGCGTCCTTGGAGGCAAGTGAGTTTGTTCGAAATATGCCTCTGTTAATCAAGCATTGACTTGGTACCCGGTAGGATGAGATGGTTTTTTGACTGTTAACCTTCTAGCGCCTCAAAGGCAGCTTGGGTTGTATACTCCATAGGGAGCTGATAAAGAAAATCCAGTGCACACCGATTCA